TTATAAAATAATAGGGGGGGACCTTCTAGTGAGGGGACCTACCAGAATTTACCCAAGTGTACCACCTGGTAAAAAAAAGTTGCTGTCAATGGGGCCCTTTGGTTTGGTCCCTCACCCATGTTTTAATTCAGAGAATTGGTGCACCCTGTGATGCCTTAAGATAAATTAGTGCATATGTATGCAAGAGTAAGTGATCATCTCATCTCCACTGTAGATCGTATTAGAACATGCAAGAAAACTGAAGTATAAAAATCTCTTTTCTTGGTTAAATAATATCACCTCATAAATTACTTGTCAACTATGTCAAAAGGTCTTTACATATTCAGTTTTCCGCCACTTTAAGTGACGGATGATTTTTTCATGCATTGCAAATGCAAACTGTGAGAACAATCAGAAATCCATATCATGGTACAAAAACTTTGTATTTATCATCTATCTATTCTATGTTCTTTTTTGTTGTGGCTGTAAAGTCAGAAAAAAGACTTTACGCTCTGTGGTGGCGCAAATAGAATTTTAATTCGTATTGTATTACTTGGCATATTTTAAGTATAAATTAAGACAGAAAGAGAGAGTAAAATCATAGTATAAACATAAGAAAAGGATGCCTTTCTCAAGTATAGAAATACAGAGATGGTGTGAAATAGGTGAGAGACAGCAAAAATAAGTGGACATAGTACCTCGCGCAGTATTGAAAATGTTGGGAATTAATTATGATGGTGAATAGTGAAATATGTGTATTGTAACTTATGTATTTGATGTGTATTCGAGCAACATTCATAGCTGGGCCATAAAGTGATACATATTTTGTTTCAAAACTCTCTAGGTACTGACCATATTATTTTCCACAGAGAAGCTAACTTGATTCGTTTTAAAATCCTTAAGTATATACTGTGTTGCGTGAAATGATATGATTAGAAATAAATTTATTTAGTCATCCCATAAAAAGTGTTAATAATTTCGGCTGTCTCATAAATTGTACACCTCCTGGATAATCCTGGCTGTCATCGGAGACTTTCGATCGCCCGATGAACAGTATTGTTCCAAAAAAATGTGAGTTCGAGGGTTTTCGTGATCACTGATTGCGATGCTCTAGGGTAATTCTGGGTCATCCAAGGCGTCATCGGGGACAGTAAGAGGTCGCCGACGACACAATATTACCAAAAACGAGAGCCGAGTCATTGTCACTTTCGACGCAGCAGTGACACCCAGAATGGTAACCAACCACTCACCGCCTGAGCGGCAAAACCCCCTGGCCTGGACATAGACTAATGCTATTTCACGTCCCTATTTATGGCCACAAAATTGTGGCCACAATGCCGGCGGCAAGAGTCAGCTTAATCCGACCCGACTATAGAACACCCTTTTTCAGGTAATATGAAATCCAAAGCCTTCAGGGTGTAACCAGAAGGTAAGGACATGCTCTGCACATAGTCCGTAACGAGCCGAAAGGCCCCGGATGCGTAAAAACAAACGCAATGGGGCCCAGGGGGCCCCAAACAGCTTTTGAAAGAATTGCCTACCCTCCAGGCGCTCTCATCCACAACTTGGCCCTCAGCCACAACTCATCCCAGGGTCACTGGAGACCGCCGCGGGCGTGCGGTGAGTGAGTGTGTATTGCGGGCCCGCCTACCCTCCAGGCGCTCTCATCCACAACTGGGCCTAGCTCTGTCAAGTAGGCACCACCCAATGGCGGTAGGAATTGTACTACTCGCCAGGAATTAGTACTCAATTAGTACTCTCACCCTGTCAAGTATTAGAATTTGTACTAACAAACTGTGGGCGCAATCCGAAAACGATGTGGGGCGGTGCGTGCATGACGTTTGCACCACCCAATTGTCCGATCCCAACGAGAGACAATGCGTTCTGTTCGGAAGAATTAGTACTTTTCGAATATCAACCTGGCAGAATTTGTACTACCTTTTAACACCATAAAAATTGAAGTCAAAGTTGGACGGCGCCTGTAAACTGCAGGGTAGGCAACCCGCATTACTCGCACCATCCAATGCACCTAGAAAATTGTACTGAACGCCAAAATTTAGTACTCAATTAGTACTTTCACCCTGGCCCATTAGTGAAATTTGTACTTGCAAACTAAAGCCGCCATTCGAAATCGATATTGGGTGGTGCGGTCGTGACGCTGCACCGCCCAATCGTCCAACAGCCCCGACACACAGTGCATTCTGCTCGGGTCGATTAGTACTTTTCGAATATCGGCATGCCGGAATTAGTACTACACGGCAACAACGCATAAACGGCGGTAAAAACAAGGGAGCCCCTGCTGACTCCAAGGTAGGCAAGCCGCAGTACTCCCACCGCCCAATACAGCTAGGAATTTGTACAACGCGCCAAAATTTAGTACTCAATTAGTACTTTCACCCTGGCACATATTTAAAATTAGTACTGACAGTCCCAGTGTGTACATTACGGTTGGAAGACCATCGAGGATTTGATCCTAGAATATTTCTCTTGTACATAGGCGGGCCAAATTTGTACACCACGGAAGTGTGCAACTTGAGTTAAACACCATGTAATGTGTAAGTGGGTGGTTCGGCCGTGACACTGCACCGCCCAATCGTCCAACAGCCCCCACAAACAGTGCATTCTGCTCGGGTCGATTAGTACTTTTCGAATATCGGCATGCCGGAATTAGTACTACACGGCAACAACGCATAAACGGCGGTAAAAACAAGGGAGCCCCCGCAAACTCGAAGATAGGCCTCCCGCAATACTCGCACCGCCCAATGCAGCTAGGAATTTGTACTGCACGCTAAAATTTAGTACTCAATTAGTACTTTCACCCTGGCACATATTTAAAATTAGTACTGACAGTCCCAGTGTGTACATTACGGTTGGAAGGCCATCGAGGATTTGATCCTAGAATATTTCTCTTGTACATAGGCGGGCCAAATTTGTACACCACGGAAGTGTGCAACTTGAGTTAAACACCATGTAATGTGTAAGTGGGTGGTTCGGCCGTGACACTGCACCGCCCAATCGTCCAACAGCCCCCACAAACAGTGAATCCTGCTCGGGTCGATTAGTACTTTCCGAATATCAGCATGCCGGAATTAGTACTCCACAGCAACTACCCATATACGGTGGAAGTAAACCGAGGAGCCCCTGCATGCTTCAAGCTGCAAGACAGGCAACCCGTAAAGTACACACTTTAGTTTTTAGAGCAGCTATGGTTGGTTATTTCCCTAACCGTATTAATTGAGGGGTGAATAGAAAATTCGACAACGTGGCGTTGTGCTCCACGGTCATGTGCATCCAACCATGCGTCACATGTAACCGTGTGATCACAGGTGTGACAAAGTGTCCTTCAAAGTTCTTTCCAAGAATTTTGCAGTGCGCCGAGGATTGAAGCACTTCATTTGTTCCTGCACACCAGTATTGCACTCACGTGAGTACGCATGAGTGTACTTGGTCTTCCCCCGCTCCATACCCATTCCAGCCCTACTCCTACGGCGCCATTCGAGAGATGGCGTCGATTCGATCGTGTTTTTGACTGGCGCATATTAGTACGAGTTCTACAACTGGTCACCTTTTAGCAC